AAAATTCATGTCTATGATTTTTACCTCACAGATGGCAATCTGTGAGCCACTTGTATTAATTGAGAGCTAATGAGCAACATTGCCAATTACATCACATTTTCTTTTTATTCACGTGTATGAACAGACTTGCACGTGAATAATAAGAAAACTCGTATGAACTGATCTACTGAAATTTAAAAAAATAGTTTGTTGCAGAAAGTCCTCGCAATCTGCCAGTTATCGTTATCCTTATCGTGCATATAAACCCTACCGTGCGTTGTGGACTAGTTTAAAGCGCTCTTTCCATTGATCTGCCGCGATAGTATTTTAATTCGATAATTTTTTCTAGCTCAAGGGCGTTTCAAATCAAAACGAGTGATTGACATTTTTCTTTAATTTATCATTGAAGGTTTAAAATTTGCCACATCCACATTTGTTGATTATTTGTGAATTTTATTTGGGCTCTCCCTCAGCGTCACCTTATCAGAGAAAATGCAACTTGCATCGCGTCTGTGTTCACGCTCCACTGCGTTGCATGGAGTCAAGGCGCAAAGCCAATATCTCTGTTTCAGGATTTTAATGAACTTTGTGAGGTCAATGGTTGTTCTGATGCCCCTAGCATTAGATTCTCGACTCTCTCCTATTTTCTTTACCCAGTTTATACCGAATATTATACATCAAATAATTAATTCATTTTGCATTAATCCTCGACAATATTTGCAAAACGTAGGTTTTTTTATCGTGTCTCTGGGCCATGTAATAATTTTGAATTTTTGGAAATGTATTGTCACGTGTTCATTTTACGCTGCAAATTATTTTTACTTTTATTTTATAAGGTCACACGATTCACCTCCCTCTGTAAAAAAGCTAGGCCTCTGCAAATCATATTTATTATCTTTGTTTCTGAAAAAGTAATTTTTATAAGTAACACAAATTTGACATTCGTGTTATTCTTCGAAATGGTGAGTCCCAAAAGTGAAACGCTACCAAAAGGTTACTTCTTCCAATATGCTTCCATTTTGTAGTTTTTTAGTGTAATTCACCACCTCTTTTTTAAAAAATCTGACTCAACATCCCACTCAACAATGTCAACCGAATAGTACTAGATGTAAAAAATATTTACTTTCAGAGAACATTTAAAATTCCAAAAAATTGAGACAAAATATCGAAGGGCACGATTTTTATGATTAGATTAAATTTTTTATTTGCTTTTCAACATTTTCCAAGTATATTGCCGAAAATGAAAGGACAATTGCTTTCACGAAGAAGAAAACTTACTTTTCTGTACATCGTTTTGCCACTGCACTTTCTTTACTTACACTACATCATAACGAGTTTTGCGGTAGTTGTATTATTATTATTATTATTATTATTATTATTATTATTATCATTATTGCATTTTGAGTTTTAAAGAAGGTGTTGACTCTAAGAGACTTAGAATCTAGTGCGAGAGGCAGACCTAGCCTGCTAAAAGGTTATAGATCTTCGCTCGTGATCATTTCTGAGAAGCATAATTTTCTTAAAGAAAGACATTAGTGCGAATACGCTCCTTTATGTTCCTGGTCCAGGTTCCTTTTTTATTCCACACATTTTGTACACACTATACTTTCAGTGGCTAAATTATTTTGAATTTTATTACATTTGCATTGTGGCTTTTTTTCTTCTGAAACATTTTGCCAAGAATGGAAACCAACTCTGCTATATTACATTTTACACATGCATATATTTTTTAATAACTAGATTTAAGGAGAGAATAAAAACATTTTGAAGTTGTCCGTCGATTTTCTCAAATTAAACTCTTCCCGTATGAGAGAATCGTTTAGATTTTTTTAATTTCTTTTTTTTAGACTTGCGTTTCATTCCGAGTTATCTGAATGTAAAAGGTTTCACCAAGAAACCTTCATAGACTAAATATCATGTAAAAAATATGCCATTGAAAATAAAACTACACACTCAAAATCCGTATGACTGGGAACTTCGAAGAGCAATTTTTATGACACTAACATTTTTGAATCTAGCCGAATGATTTTTTCAGCAAGAACAAAATTGTACCATTTTTCAATATTGTTTCCTTACTGAACTTAACATTTTTTTTTTGCCTGACCATTACTTTATGATACTCCTTTATCAATAAAATCGCGAGTGATCCGATAACCACTTTTCCAAGTCGTTGTAATATTTAAGCACAACTCCTTGCAACACCAATACCACACAAAACATGGGAAACATTAACCGTCGTTAAGCATTACGTAGGTCTTGCTCTCCTTCCTGATCCAAAAGGGAGCAAACAAAGGTACGCGCGCCTCACCTGCACACACGCCGACTCGGAAGAGCAAAGCCGTGCGGGGCGGCGACTTGCCGTCGCGCCCCACTTCGGCGGCCTTCCTGCCCGCGC